TATTATTAAGAATTATATTATATAAGTAAAAGTTATAGAGACGCTAATTATTGAGATTTGAGTAATATATAAGTAAGAAATAAATATATCATTGAAAGTAATTGGTTTCACAATCTTTGTTGCGAGCGAATAGAACCAAAAGCGCAGCCAAATAAAATAGTAAGGACCGGCTCGTAACAAATTGGGGGCCCGCCCGGGAAAACTTTCTCGTTTGACATTGCATGACTATAAAGTAAAACATTCCAAAACAAAATTTTAAAGATGGCCCTACAGTAGATAAAAGTTTCGTTTAAAAGATAAAAGAAAAGGTTCTTTTCAAGGGAAAAGATTTTCAGTAAAGTAAAAATAAAAGTATAAGTAAAGTTTTCGCGGTTTAAGTGTATATGTGAAACCAGTTATTTGATAATGTCTGAGTTTAACCCCCAGGAATTTATGGTGGAACCAAACCAGAGTACATTTGGGCAATTAAGAGAAGATGACTTAATAACATTAGCCAAGCATTTAAAATTAGAAATACGCAGTTCAATGCGAAAACAGGAAATCCAAAAACTTATAATGGAACATTTAGTGAACGAGACAAGGTCATTTGAATAGTCTGCTTTAGGTGCATATAAAGTTACTCAAGATTCCAGTCCTGAAGTAGAATTAGATCATAGCAATAGTGTAGGTGATGAACGCGAAGAAAGACAGTGGCAGAGAGAGCAGGCAGAAATAGCATGGCAGAGAGAAAGAGAGAAGCGTGAGTGGGAACGCAAAGAGAGACAGTTTAAATTAAAACAACAGGAGATAGAGTTACAAAAATTACAGCTAGAAAGCCAGAATAAGTCATCCGATCATTCTACCCCTTATTTTGATGTAACTAAACACATTAGGATGGTTCCACCGTTCCAGGAACGGGAAGTCGATAAGTACTTTTTACATTTCGAGAAGGTTGCCAAAAACTGCAACTGGCCGAAGGAAAGTTGGACAATGCTCTTGCAAAGTGTCCTCCTAGGGAAAGCTCGGGAAATTTTTTCACAGCTTACGGTAGAAGATTCCGGAGAGTACGATACGGTAAAGCGACTAATTCTGAAGGGGTACGAGTTGGTTCCCGAAGCGTATCGCCAAAAATTCCACATTTTAGGCAAATCAAGTAATAAAACCTTTGTGGAATTTGCGCAAGAAAAGGCTCAGCTTTTCGATCGCTGGTGCACATCAGAAAATGTGGAGAATAAATACGATCGTTTACGCGAGTTGATTTTGATTGAGGAATTTACAAATTGTCTTAGTAATGATGTTAGAACTTTCGTGACTGACAAAAAACCGGAAACACTAAGTGACGCAGCATGTTTGGCAGATAATTTCTTGCTAACACACAAATTTTCGACCACGGGTATAAAATCAAATATGTTTCCTTCTCGCGGCAACAGCCTTGCATTTGACAATAAATGTCTGCCACCTCCTAGGCAATTTCAGGGACGATATCCAGGCAATGATTTTAGCTCTTTCAACAACAAACCACGCAATGGACCGCCAGAATCTTGGCGTAGACCATCACCATTTAAGTCAATTGTTTGTGATTATTGTAAACGAAGTGGTCACACAAGGTCTGAATGTCATTCGCTTAAATTTAACAGACCACCACCAAAACCAACACGTTTTATTTCTTCGTCAAACACGAAACCAGAATTTCATAGTTTATACGAGCGGCAGCAACAACCAAAGCAACATGTCGTTGAGAGTAAACAATATATTCACAAGGGTCAATATATTGACCCTAGTATGGACACATTTAAGCCATTTATATTTGATGGTTCTGTATCGCTCTCAAATGACCAATCAAATGTTTATTTACCAATCAAGATATTGCGAGATACAGGTGCTTCACAATCGTTGATACTAACCAGAACATTACCATTTTCTACAAATTCGTATTCGGGCAAAAATGTTTTGATATGCGGCGTTAACTCCAAAGACTATCGTTCAATGGTGACAGGCGATGTTTCCTTAGGCGTGATTGAGTCTTTACCTTTTGATGGGATACATTTGTTATTAGGAAACGATTTAGCTGGCGATAAAGTTACAGTTAACCCAATTTTAACAAACAAACCATGTCTTTCTCAACAGCCTGATCCGGTTGAACAAGTTATTCCAGATTTATATCCTTCATGTGCGGTTACTACAGCCATAAAAAAACGGCAAGATCATGAGATAGATAATGTGCGAGCAGATGAAATTGACATGTCTGACACTTTTCTTTCAAAAGTATCTGAAAATTTGGATGCAAATGATAATCAAAGTAGTTTTTCAAAATCTAGCCCTATTAGAGAGCAACAAAATGATCCTGAGATTTCTGCGCTTTACCAAAAGTCTTCAGACGAGATGGATGCCACAGGCGGTCCTGTGTGCTATTTTATTAAAAACGGAGTGTTAATGAGGAAATGGCGACCCCTTTATGTTTCTGCCGATAACGAATGAGCTTTTCGATATCAAATTATAATTCCGAAGTCTTATCAATCCGAAATTCTTAGTTTGGCACATGACACTCCACTTTCGGGTCATTTGGGAATAAACAAAACGTTACAAAAAGTCATTACCCATTTCTATTGGCCTGGGGTTCGAAAAGACGTCGTTCAATTTTGCAAAACTTGTCACATATGCCAAATTGTTGGAAAACCAAACCAAGTAATTCCTAAAGCACCATTAAAACCAATTCCGGCTTTTGAAGAACCGTTTAGTAGAGTCATGATTGATTGTGTCGGACCACTGCCTAAAACTCGAAAAGGAAACCAATATCTCCTAACCATTATGTGTGTTTCGACTCGATTTCCAGAAGCTATACCTTTAAGCAATATTAAGGCGAAAACTATTGTTCAAGCGCTTACAAAATTTTTTACTCTATTTGGACTTCCAAAATCCATTCAGTCGGACCAAGGATAGAATTTTATGTCAGGCTTATTTCAGCAAGTAATGCAGGAACTAGGCATCAAACAGTTTAGATCAAGCGCTTATCATCCGGAAAGTCAAGGAGCACTAGAGCGATTTCACCAGACATTGAAAAACATGATTCGGATGTATTGCCAGGACACCGAGAAAAGTTGGGACGAAGGAATTCATTTACTTTTATTTGCTGCACACGATTCAGTTCAAGAATCTTTAGGCTTTACTCCGTTTGAGCTTGTTTTCGGACATACAGTTAGGGAACTACTTAAACTCCTGAAGGAGAAGTTGCTTGTCGACGATGACAGTCCTTTAAACCTTTTAGAATATGTTTCAGATTTCCGTACGCAACTCACAAAAGCATGCGATTTGGCTAGAGAAAATCTTAAGTCGGCACAAAAATGCATGAAGGAAAAGTATGACAAAACTACCGTAATGCAAAGTTTTCAAACCGGCGACAAAGTACTTGCCTTTCCTCCGGTCCCTGGAACACCCTTGCATGCTAGGTATTTTGGCCCCTACCTCGTAGAAAAGAAAGAGAATGATTTAAATTATGTAATAGTCACGCCCGATAGACGCAAGAATAAACAGCTTTGCCATGTAAATATGTTAAAGCCTTATCACGAAAGAAAGAAAGTGATTAATGCAGTTAGTTCAGGTAGTAATGATAATCATACAGCTGAAGAGCTGGAACTTTTTAACTTATCCGAAACAACTAAACTGAGCAACTCTCACATTCTTCGGCAAATGGATTCCAAACTGACGCACCTTGAGCAAAGTCAACAAGATGATATACAAGAACGTGTGCAAGAGTATTCTGATTTATTTCCTGATGTACCAACTCGGACGACTATGATCTCACACGACGTAGACGTTGGTGATGCAGTACCAGTTAAACAACACCCATATCGCTTAAACCCCTCCAAACAAGAATCCCTGAACAAAGAAGTACGATATCTTCTCGAACGACCTGATCGAGCCCAGTCAGCAGTTGGAGTTCACCCTGCATTCTAGTTCCGAAGCCGGACGGAAGTTATCGAATGTGTACGGACTATCGAAAGGTAAACCACCTCACAAAAACGGACACATTCCCTATTCCGCGAATGGACGATTGCGTTGATAAAGTTGGTAATGCAAATTTGACCTATTGAAGGGTTTTTGGCAGATGGACAAAGGACTTTTGAGTGAACGGGCAAAAGAAATCTCGGCTTTTGCTACCCCGTATGGTTTGTACCAGTATAAAGTTATGCCTTTTGGTATGAAGAATGCACCAGCAACATTCCAGCGCCTCATCAATCGCCTCATCACCGATATTGATGGATGCAAAGCTTATATTGATGATGTCATCATCTATAGCAACACCTGGGAAACACACCTTGAGATTATGCGAAAGTTTTTTCAACGGTTACGCGAAGCTAGCCTAATGATTAACCTCGTGAAAAGCGAATTTGGATGTGGCCATGTGACCTACTTGGGACATATCGTTGGGCAAGGTAAAGTAAAACCTATTAGTGCAAAAATCGAAGCCATTTCTGCGTTTCCACAACCTTCCACAAAGAAACAGGTCATGCATTTCCTCGGCATGGCAGGTTACTACCGAAAGTTTTGCCCAAATTTCTCTACTGTTACTCAACCCCTAACCGAGCTACTGCGAAAAAACGTTAAATTTATATGGACAGAACATTGTCAATCATCCTTCAACTGACTTAAAGCATTGTTGCAAAGTGGTCCTGTTTTGTCAGCCCCAGACTTCAGCCGCCCCTTTAAACTAGCTGTAGATGCAAGTGACATCGCTGCCGGAGCAGTATTATTACAAGAGGACGACAATGGAATCGACAATCCGGTAGCTTATTTTTCCTGCAAGTTTAACCACCATCAACGCAATTATTCCACAGTTGAAAAAGAATGTCTTGCCCTTATCCTCGTCCTTCAACATTTTGATGTGTATGTTTCTTCAGCCGGAGTTCCTATCGAAGTATTCAGTGATCACAATCCACTGGTTTTCATCCACCGAATGAAGGACAAGAATCAACGTTTGTTGCGATGGAGCTTGATATTATCAGAATACAACATGCACATACAACACATAAAAGGACAAGACAACTTGATCGCTGATTGTCTTTCAAGGCCATGAACACTTGACGAACACGCTACATTGAAAAGAAAGTTAAGAAACTTTCTTTCTTTCAAGGGGGAGGGTGTTACATGATAATGCTTATATCATGTAATTTTACATACTATTATATTATACTATATAGCTTATACTTTATATTCATATTATTAACCGAATAGCTTACATGCATGAGTAAGCAAATAGTTTTAAAGATTAAGATGTCCCACAACTAACGTAGCGGACATGACTTGGTTTGGCATTGGCCGATTTGTGGTTACTGAGACTTGCTTCAACGAACTGTATTGCGTAGGGGAAATGAGTCGTAGTTTTGTAGTTTCTTCCCCTATAGCAGAGCGCGTATAAAAGCCTGAGCACAACTAGACAATTGATGCATTATTCATAAGGCGAAAGCCTGAATAACATCGCCATGAAGATTATAGAAATTACAAGTTAATAAAGAAAGATTTAAAAGGATTATACAAAGGCGAAGATATATTAAAGATAAAGAATTGCCAGGAATTGAAGAGTTGTGCTCAGTCGTGAAAAGAGATAAGTTTGAACAGTACATTATTATTAAGAATTATATTATATAAGTAAAAGTTATAGAGACACTAATTATTGAGATTTGGGTAATATATAAGTAAGAAATAAATATATCATTGAAAGTAATTGGTTTCACAATCTTTGTTGCGAGCAAATAGAACCAAAAGCGCGGCCAAATAAAATAGTAAGGACCGGCTCGTAACAAGCATTAAATGCAGAAGACTGAGTTTTGCATAGAAGATTAAATTTTCTTAGACATAAAAAGTTATATTATAACAGCTTTCTTAAGTGTTTTAGGTAAGAAAACGTAATTGCATAAGCATTTGTTTTCTTGTATATCAAAGAGTAATTTTAAACAGAAATCATCACTCTTGAAGTCACCATTTTAGCAAAAAACCACCATAGTGAGAAAATGAGCATGGTGACCTATCTTTTTTATTGCATAAATTACACTATAATGGAAATCGTAATCTTTTTAAAAAGTATCCAACTCTTTCTTGACAAGTGGTTTCGCATTACATTTCGATTCAATTTTTCTAATGTAAATGTCTGGAAGACCAGGTCCTGGCTTGTACAAGTCTGTGTTGTTAGCTTTGTCCCACTTGAAGGTACACCAGCTGTCTGGTCCTTCTGGACAATGATTATGCAGGTTTCTCTTTTTCGAGGAAATACAATGAAAAAAGCTTGCATGTATATCCCTGACGCATCCCCAGAATTGCTTCTTATGGCAATGCCATAATAATTCTGGAGTTTATGAATCAGGGAGTCAGGTAGCTTACCGTTCGCACCCTTTTCCTTTGTTGTCTTTTTTCAACTTCCTTAGCACAGTGCCCACACGCTTTTACACATGGCCAACACACTCCTTCTTCTCAATATGAATAGTCTCGTAGCAGTCCTGAACCTCTTGGTAGGCCTTGCTATCACCATTGGCAGAATATTCCGTATATTGCAGTTTCCTGGTTTGTTCACTGATTTTAACTCTTTCTCGGCAGGTACCATTGTGCATAGAACATGCACGTCGTGCACATGGATGTTTCATTCATATCTTCGATTCAATAAACGCTATGTCGATGAACACCACCATTCGATTCAGTGTAAAAATATATACTAATTCATAACAATAGTTTTAGTCAATGACAACATTATAGTGATTTATGAGCTTTGAAGGTCAAGTGAGCTCGTATATGATCAAATTACCAAGTTGGTTCAACATGCTGCCATGAAAACATCTTTCTTATGCAGATTTCTAACCAAAAACAACCATTGCTAAGGGCGTTGTTAGAGCAAGAAAACACCGTATGCACACCAGAAAGCTACAGAGGTGATGCAGGAGGGTTCAAAGTATATAATTTTACTGTTGGACCCCCTTAATAGGTTAAGTACATGTACAAATTTTGAGATATGGTCACCGTGCAAATAAACAAGAAAATAGCACCTCAAAGTGACATTTTCACTTCGTGAAAATCATTCGACTACACACAAAAAGTTAATTCACTAACAGTGTCACACAATCATCAAGTGTTTGTGGGTGCATGCAAGCATGCTGTTTTTAAAGCATTTATAAAAAATGTAAATTTTGTCCGCATTTGCTCGTGAATATTAAGAGATTATAACTGTTAAACATCTTTTACCAAAATCGTATCAATGCAAGATTTGTGCCTGGATTCTGCCATACCGTGTTGTTCTCGGTCAAGATTTATCCTTTCACTTCGCCGATGAATGACATGAATTAGCTGGCAAAGCAACAATAGCAAATAGTCCTTTCTTTCCAAATTTTGGAGTGTTTCAAATGGTATACCATTTTCTGCTAGTTTTAGTTTCATACTTTTGGACAACACATTGTGCCCATTGTTGTATGCCACTTGTTTATATGTCTGTATGGTTGCATGCCTTTAATCGAGAAACTGAACATCCTTTATGGCATCCTCGACTGTTGTTGGTCAACCATGTTCCAAAATCTGTTGAACTGTAACTTGAATGGAGCTATGAACTAGTATTTTGAACAACGCTTTAACATCTTCAAGTGCATTGTGCTGCTGAGTTGTTGGCCATTCTTGAACAGCACTGACTCCCCATTTAGAAGTGAACTTGTTATGCTATGAACATTAGAAGCAGCTTGAGTAATGCTAGTTTTCATTCAAATGTATTCTGAAAACACCAGACTGCTAACTTTGCTGTGCGCACAGAAAGATATTCAGTGCATACATTTTTCAAGATGAAGTGCATGTGTTTTAAGAATTGAAGTCAGGTGCGCATTTTATATTTTTTACAAAATGTACTTTCAAAACTACTGAAAAGTTTGATACTTTAGTGATGGCATTGATGTGTGAATTTCCTGCCTTATCACCTGAGTGTGCCCTGTTGGACCCCCTTAATAGGTTAAGTACATGTACAAATTTTGAGATATGGTCACCGTGCAAATAAACAAGAAAATAGCACCTCAAAGTGACATTTTCACTTCGTGAAAATCATTCGACTACACACAAAAAGTTAATTCACTAACAGTGTCACACAATCATCAAGTGTTTGTGGGTGCATGCTGTTTTTAAAGCATTTATAAAAAATGTAAATTTTGTCCGCATTTGCTCGTGAATATTAAAAGAGATTATAACTGTTAAACATCTACTTTACCAAAATTGTATCAATGCAAGATTTGTGCCTGGATTCTGCCATACCATGTTGTTCTCGGTCAAGATTTATCCTTTCACTTCGCCGATGAATGACATGAATTAGCTGGCAAAGCAACAATAGCAAATAGTCCTTTCTTTCCAAATTTTGGAGTGTTTCAAATGGTATACCATTTTCTGCTAGTTTTAGTTTCATACTTTTGGACAACACATTGTGCCCATTGTTGTATGCCACTTGTTTATGTATGTCTGTATGGTTGCATGCCTTTAATCGAGAAACTGAACATCCTTTATGGCATCCTCGACTGTTGTTGGTCAACCGTGTTCCAAAATCTGTTGAACTGTAACTTGAATGGAGCTATGAAATAGTATTTTGAACAACGCTTTAACATCTTCAAGTGCATTGTGCTGCTGAGTTGTTGGCCATTCTTGAACAGCACTGACTCCCCATACTATTTCGTTCTGAGCAATGGAGTGCAATGGAACCAAAATTATGAATCTTTCATAATGTATATCTGTGGCTACATTAGATTATGCTTTAATTTTGTTTGATATCAAAAAAGCTCACGCTTTTGATTATTAAGAGTAGTGCTCACAAAAAGAAAATGAAGTATGCATGCAGGCAGTATCAAAATGAAATGTAAGATGAAATGTTATTATATACATAAGTTCTCAGAATGAAGTTATTAGAATAATTTGTTTAGATATATAGTGAGCTAGTGAATATTTCTTCCTTATGTCAACTTTTTATATAAACTGTCTTCAACTCATTAATAGCAAAGTAATGTCTTCTTTACTTAATTACTAGCATATGGTCATGCCGGATTTCAAATGTCTTATCAACTCTGTGATTGTTGGTCTTTTTGTCGGCTCTGAATCACTGAACAATCTGCCAATGGACAAAAGGTGATCATTCTTTAATTTGTCACCTATGCAAAGAAAGATTTTCCCCATGGAATACATGTCACTAGCAGGACTAGCTGGTGCACCATTCAATACTTCTGGCACGATATGTGGATATAATTGTGTATACTTTTTCGTTGATGTATTTGTGATTTTCTTCACTTTGCCGAAATCAACAAGGTAACCTTTTTTTTCAAAAATCAATACATTGTTTGTCTTCAAGTCGCAATGCAAGTACCCTTTTTGACGGAGATGATGTAATGCATCAACAATATCATAGCACACCTGAAACCAATCGCTTATGGATAAACTTATGTGCTTGAATTTGCTATTATAAAGCAGCTTATGGATAGTCATCGATTCCAAATTGTCACCAACAAATTCCATTATAATGGAGAAAGGTTTTTTCTCAACTTGTACCCCCAATAAATGTGGGACACACCGATGAGCAAACAACTGGATATAATGGGCTTCTTTATAAATTTCGTCTAGGCTACCTTCGTGAAGTTGTTTTTCGATCACCTGGATTCCAAGCCGTGTAAACATTTTCACCACACATTGACCATACGTCCCAGCTCCAACAATACTGCTATCAGCGTCTATGCCTTGTATTTCTCCTGGTATAATTTTTGAAATAGCATAGTTTTTTGGATTTTCTTGACCAGCTGCACAAAGTATCTATGCAAAAAAGCAAATTACAGTAAGTTTTTTATTTCTACTGCAGGTGATTGCTTATATATTTAATCAAAATGACATTTAAAATTAGATATAACTAGTATACAATATAGAATACTGTAGCTATATATATTCGTAAATTTTTTAGTAAAAACTAAAAGTGTAAATCTTCGCTTTTAATAATAATTAAGTATTAACTTTTTTATTTTAAATGACCTTATATGTATTAATAGTTTATAGTTAAGGACTGGCAAATTCATATCAGTAGTTGCGGTTAAGGCAAATTCATATCAGTAGTTGCGCAAATTGACAAACTTTGAAACAAAGTGCCTGCATGATTATAAATTTTCAAAAACTGTGTAATAATTATTTAATAGTTATTTAATTAAAAGGAAAATTATTTTGTGAACCATCACTAGAGAAGTATAATTTCATGGTATCAAAGGAATATTTCAGTATTATATAAAATATGGCATTCTTTATAAAAAACCCCATTTTTTCTGCCAAAGACGAAGCAAGACAAATTTAACATGCGGGTCACTTTAATATATACAGCCCAGAAGCTGTACATCTATCCTCCAGCTGTACACGTGATAGAGGCCATGCCACAAGCGTAACACGGCATTAAGATAAAGAAAGCTGACTTTACTATCAGAATTCCCTTATGTATACTAACTCTTTTGTTCCTCTTCTCAATGCCTTGACTACGAATTGTTTTTGCGCTTTCTCTCCACAATTGATAATACTTCGAGGCGAGCTGCTTTTGTATGTCAAACTGTTTACGGGTTGCGCCAACGGCAGATTGTATTTGTTGGTTTACTTGCTTCTCTTGCATTTCTGTACGTGCCTCGCGTCGTTTCTGACGTTTTCGTTTCTTTTTTCGTTTCGCATATGTCTTTTCCCTTCAGTGGTTCGAACCATCTTTGGAAAGAGACTGATTCATTGAAGGCGATTTTACAGGAGCAAATGCGCGATGGCCACGAGGCCATATAAAGGTGCTATGTATTTCCTGTTTGTGGCATTTAAATAATTGCAGCCCCATGCAGCCATGCTTTTATTTTTTATGTTTTCGTGTTTATGCCCGCTTCAACTCTATAAGCTGGAGTGGTCTTGTTTTTTGGTAAAACAAACCTTGTCATGCACTGAGAGCTTTTAGTGCAATAGTGCGCTTACTGGTCTTTTAGGCAAATACGAGCCCAGAGCTATGGCCATGATGCTCGTCTGGATTTAAATATACCCCGCTGAGTGCTTGCTGTATATTAAGCTTATATTACTGCATGAGATCAAATTTACTATACTACGTCTACAAATATGTCGGTCTCCAGATATAGTTGTTCGGTCGAGTGTTCGCGTTGTACGAAGAACTTTAAAAGTTCGAAATCAATGTGGCGCCACATGATGAAATCGCACCAACTTTCAATAGCCCCTCTTGAATTTTTGGACGAAAATAATCAACCAGTTACGCTTGCTAAACCTGCATTGATAGAATCTGCTTCCCAGCTGAATTCATACAACATGTGGTTATCAACAATTGTGGAACGAGTCAATGAAGCCCTACATCCTGCCCTACCAGGTATAAATAGCAAGTGACTATATATAAAGATTCTAGTTCATCCAATTTATCTATAATTATATTACTATATTATATCACGTAATTTAAGAAGCATACATTTTAAATGCGTATCCGTTTTATTAAATATAAAAGAGTTTAAACTTATCGCCGAATATAAAACCGAGGTTTTACTGCTTCATGCAGTAGCCTATAATCTACATAGATTCGTAGACCCGGCATTATATGCCTCAATATCGTAAAATTTTAAGTAGTGATTTACTTTCGTAACGCATTTCACAGGTCGATGGACACAAGTTGAAGATCCTTGTGTCCCGGACTCTTTTGTTCTTCATTTTATTGCACGAATTGCTGAAGAAACAGCTGATGTGGTTTCTCCCCATTGTGTAAAATTTCTAACACACAGAGGTTTACCATATCGATTGAAAACTGAAAAGATTTCGTACAAAGTATACGATTTAACCGCAGTAAAGAATGCATTGGACGAGCAAAGAGATTTAGAGCTGCGTGAAACAGCTGCCTTCCGCCACTTTGCTGAAGTAGATGACAAAGGTAAAGATTCGTGTTTCCAAAAGCTGTCAATGAAAGAAAAAATTGCCAGAATGAAGGCATCTTCCAAAATAGGATATGTTGAACATGTCCAGGTACCCACCTCACGCAGTTCTCTTGTTATTTGTGAAGGAGAAGGACGTTGTACAAGAGAAATGGAAATAATTTACTGGCCAAAGTTATACACCTTTTCAAAGCAGTACAAGTTTCAGCTACGATTTTTTATTCAAAAATGTGACATGCAATGAAACAGTATTTTTTCTTCTCAACCGTAATTCTATAACTGCCTGTGCAGCTGATTATTGGCTGATTTACTGTCACATAAATTATGAACAGAACGAATTCATCTGTGTTTTTCAACCCAGGTTACAAATCGCACACATGCATATCCAAACATTTCGGCTCTAATTATGTATCCAACAGTGAAGATTTGACTATCTAGCTATTAACGACTGACAACCATTACTGGCATTAGCGTAAAATTGTTCAAAATCACTTGCTCGGCGAAAGAGAATAACACTTCAAACAATTCTAGTTAGCTGTGCGTTGATAATCAATTGACTTATAAGTCCTTACGTCACGCCACTGTCAACAATAGTTTGATCAACATGTATCATAGATTGAAAGTTGTGTGATGTACATCTCGAGTCAATGCAGTCTAGCTAAAATTACGTTTTTAGACGAACATTTTTAGCATGCTAATATGAACTAACTATAAATAATAGCTGTCTTATGGAATTTAATTTTCTTATAGCTTTATCGTATCGTCTGATAATTATTTAGGATTTGATGCTTAGTGCTTAGTGCACGCAAAAGATAGTGGTAAACTTACAAGTCGCCATCATTAACTATTATGTATTTTTTTGTACATAACTTTTATCTTCCTAATTAATATTATTTAAAAGTCTTGAAGATCTTTGCACAGAATAAATATGATGAAGTAAAAATGTCAAAAATGCCATTTTGAATTGTTTAATTTGCCCGGGCGATGACTACTAAGACCAGCATTCGTCGCGGGCATCAAGCCTTGTGACGTTATTATGCATAACGTCTATTGCCACTTAAGCAATCTCGGCCATGCAACATGATGCAAAATTGTTTAACTAAACATTGTTTGTTACGATATACTATACTGCCTGTTAAAAATACAGCCAATGGCAACATCAACAAAATATTCAACTAACCTCTTAGATTTGTTGGTGGAAATAGACAGCAGATGACATAATGAATCCAGCTCGAACTGGAACCAGCAGGCTTGCTATTGGTTGCAAAGTAGGCGTAGCCAAACCATCATAGTTAAACCACCTTTTGTGATAGCAAAGTCGAGCCATATAGTGTTGTCCATTCCAAAACGTAATCCCACCTAAATAGTACCTTGTGCCCAACAATGGAAGAACCAAGGGTATATCTTTAGGACTTGCTAGCTCACTGCATGATCTAGCTAAATCGCCAAAGAAAATAGGCAGCACCCATGGATGTCCGTTTGTAAATGCTCTCGTTTGCGATCGTAGAATACCTTTACACAACATTGATTGGTGTTCTGGGTCGACATACTGCTCAATTAGTTCGGTATTTGCTTCTAGCACTAACTGATTATCAAACATCGCCTTGCATGGTTGAGATGGTGGTGATAGCCAATCATTAAATATTTCTTCTAGGAACGACCGAGTTGCAGTTCTTTCCCTGTTTAATGCAGTGATGAAAATACTCTTGCATTGGACAATCCTTTCCTTTCGAGGACACTTGTCACATCGCAACTCATCTGCAAAGTGCTTGACAGAATGGGAGCCAGACACGGCATTACCATGTCAAGTTCGCAACCCCATACGTCAACAGTTCTCGATGCAGAAAAGTCAAAATTGGGAAACTGCCTCAGCCAAATAATTTTCCCAGTAGCAAAATCTTGTGCGTCAAATGCGATCACTATTTGCACCAGGCGCTTTGCGTACTCTGCTGATGATAACTCCAGCTGTTCTAAGACATTTGGATGTTCTTTTAGGTATAAATAGAAAATCGTTAAATAATTGTCAATTGGGCAAGTGTTAATTAATTTAATCGCAATATTCCCATCTAAATTAGCACATCCACCCCATACAGGAACTGGGAGGACTCTTTGTGTTCCATCTTCAGAACTACCCTGGAATTCGGCGTGGGTTGATACGAGTGAACACTTGGCTTTTTTCATTTTGTGTTTCTTCAGCTGTTTTATGGGTGCTTGCTTTTGCTCACATGGTTTCGTTGCAATCACTTGGCTCCTGTCAAAATTTGGTAGGGAATTTTCGTGCACAACTACATTTTTGTTTTCCGTCCTAAATTTGAACGTGTCTGGGCCAAATATGTTTTCCAGCAATTTGCTCGTATCGAATATCCATCATCATATCGAATATCGAATATCATATCATCTGCTGTCCATTTCACTTTGGTTGGTTTCCACCCACAGCCACGAAAAAAGAATTCTCGATCTGGAAAGAAAGAGAGATATACGAAGATAAAAAAGTTGTCATGTGGTAATGAAAACTCCTATAATTTTGTCAGGTCACAACTATAATATGCACATAATGAAATGGATTTTACACTATACAGACATGCACGTTAACGCGGTGCGGCTGTAACTTTCTGGCACGGTCTGCGCCAGAGTAGATAGTGCCAATAAACAACAAGCTTTCGTTGATAGGGATGCAACTACCTTAAAAATATAAGGAGAATTTCGATGTTTCAAGCGAAGGCCCTTCTGTCTGGAGTTACTGAATACTGACTAGTAACTTCAGACGAGGGGCCTTCGCCAGAAACATCGAGATCCTCCTTCAGTTATATAGTCAGTTCAGGTAGTAGCATCCCTACCAACGAAAGCTTGTTATGTAATTTCCTGGCTTGATATTAATTGTATTATTTACCATGTTTTGAGCATTCCTTCGCCTTTTCAAAACACATACGTAGGAACAACAGTCTATCTGTGTAGTTGTGAACAAGAACTTGTTTGACTAAAAGAAAGAAGGAATTATCAGAACTGAAATCAATTTACGTACAGAGAGTGTACTTGGGTCTTTGGAAGGCAAAACAATGTATCTGAGAAATTGTCCAAGAATTTGCTACAGCAAGTTAGTTACATGTTATATTACACTGAATTTTGGAAATATTTTGAACGAAATGCAGGACTTGTAAGCTAACCTGACGAATCCTTTTGGTGCATATCGTGATTCGTAGCTTGTTGGTAAAGTCTTCGGTCAACCTTGTGAGAACTCTCAAACCCCTGGTTACTAAATTCACGCATGGATCCAAACGTTCGCATCAACATTGATGCATGTTCGATCACTAGGTGTCCGTAGTCGCCAGTGCCAAGCAGTGGACCAAATGTTTCCCGAAGCTGCAATCCCCATTCTTTACACTACAATTAAGAAGTAAAAAGAATAAACATGCCAAATTTAATTAATATTGGTAATTAGTATTCTTGCACAATGAACATAACAAATCCTACACGTTGATTGGTCAAATTTGACGTATTAAGCCGTTATATTCACCGAAATTTTCAAAATGGCCGCTAGCCGTTTTGTGGAAGTTAGGCTACTGATAAAGAAATAAGCGATATTAACATAAATTCAGTGTCAAAAGCTTGTGTTAAAATACTAAAATATTATTCGCCTCAGGCTCGGTGATTATCGGGGAATATTCACCTCGATTTCGTCTCGGCGAATATTCCCCGATAATCACCTCGCCTTCAGCGAATTATTGTTAAATAGTACTTTAAATTTTGCGCGCAGGCGAAAAACGCGAAATAACTATTGTCAGTATTGAGCTAATTTGGTAATAAATGCACCATATATGTTAGTCTGTGTTCCAGTCCATAACGTGCGTTCCTTACGCGTATATGTGTATAGTGGTCTGGAACAGATAGATATAGATGAATCGTTTATTAACTCAATTATTGCAGTCCTACGACTGCATTACAATTGGTTGGTTGAAAATTTATAAATACATAGTGCTAATGATTAAAAAAATTGTTATATATATATTGCATGCAGATATTTAAAATAAGTTCGTTTTTAGTTATTTTCGTGATACATACTCGAGGATAAAAGAATCCTTAAATCTATTTGTCCTAATCGTTGGGAGATTATATTTCCTAATTGTTCTTCCTATATATACAAGTAGGAAGCGATTAAATTAAAACTAAGCTACAACTATAATTTTGATATTAATACAATGACTTAATACAAAACCTGTAAATCAAAAACGTCAACTTCGTCTGCTTCATCTTCTTGATAGACTTTATCACGAATGATAAGAGCAATATCTTTCCACATAGTACCAATCTATATATAATGAAATGTATGTTCATTTGTGTATGCCATGCATTCTCGTTCCCAGAACCATTTTCACTCAGTCACTGTATGTATGTATGTGTGTATATATGTTGTATAGATCTTTGAACTGAGTATTACTAGAACACTACCTTCAGATAAAGGCGCCCATATATATTCTTGAAGCTAATGTGTCGCGCGGCATAAAATTGTAGTATTTGACTTCAATATTTCAGTTGGATGTAGCATTTCAGTTATATTTGGTTCAATGGTACATACAGCTATTTCAATTAAGGTTGTCCCCCGAGCAAAATGAATGAATTTATTAGCGATTCCCAGCAGCCTTTTGCGCTCGTATTCGACTTTTCCGCTTTGCTCGGGGGAAAACCTTAATTGAAATAGCTGTATGCATACTATACATCCTAAGTAAATGTCGTTTTGTGGCGTAAATGTACTAATGTAAGTTAATATATTATGTAATATGGAATATATATGTAACCGCACCTGTCGAAATAATTCTTGATGCAGTTTAGCAGCAAACAAGATTAATGAATCATCCCCGTCTTCATCATCTTCATTTTCTTCATCGTTGCATTCCTCCGAAGAATTTAAGAACTCTTCAATTTTCTTGCTCATATCATCCCAGAAGTGCAGTCTTTCAGAGGCATAAATCTCAATTTTGCCTACAATATTTATGAGAATGTATTATATTATTAAATTAGATCATATTAACCTCAAGAGATCTTGAGGCTTTTATAGCAACTGCTCCAGAATCGCAGGGCCGTAGGTTCGATTCCTACCAGAGGACCTTGTGCTGCATTTTTCGCAGTCGTTCCTGGTTAGGCCTTAAAATGTATATATTCTCACTTGGATTACAAACCCTAACATCCTAATATATAGTCCACAAAACTATATTAAAATGAAGGTTTTTACCAGACTCCCCTTTACCT